TTTATACAAGCCTGCTAAAAAGAGCTCTATAAGCTCTTTTAGACTTGTTAGACTTGTGGCCTGTTTCTCTACTAGACAACGCACTCCTCCATTACCGCGGGCAGCGGTGCTGCTTCCTTGTCCTCCAATTGGTTCACAAGCGAACCCTGCTCCAACCTAGCTAGGCTGTGGAGCACTGCTGGTGGGGTTACGCTGGTCCAACCGTAGATCGTAACAGCAATCTACTTAATACCCTTCTTTATTAAAGCGCTAATAGCACTCTGTATCTATCTATTGCAGAGTACTAAAGTAACACTATACTTACATCTTTTCTACCCTTCCTTTCTAACCCTGTCCTAGGCTCTCCGGGACTGTACACCCCGCCTCCTATTGGACTCAGGCAAGGAACACTCCCACTTCCCCCCCCCTCCTTCCCTTACGGGTCGTAACTGTAGCGTCACGTGACCACGTCGCGTCGAGCAGGTGAGATATCGTAACACAGACCTTAAAACTAACGTATAAGACTTAAAAATATTAATAGATTTAGATATAGTATAGTTTTCTTACTTATATATAATAACTAAGCTATTTACACTACATTATGCTGTATAAATATTATTATTTTTTATAGCATAAGTTTTATCCCTTCTTTAGTCTTTTCTTTTGTTGTATAACATAAGTACACTACCTCTAAAATACTGCTTAGAAATAGGAGAGCTTTATTTTTAGCATCTTTTTTTATTTGCTTTTTGTTTAGCTTATTATACTTTTCTTTAGCTATTACCTAGTACATAAAAAGTAAAGAATAAAAATGTTATTATTCTAAATAATACTCTAAACGCTAAAAAGGCTGTCTTTATTCTATCTGCTAAAGCTATAAGTTATATAATTACAGAAAGTGCATAATAATAATTAATCTAAAAGACTGCCTAAGCTACAGCTTACTAGTCTTCTAGCTTTCTAGTTCTTCTACATGTCTACCTTATACAATATAAGATTATTAATAAAGGTACCTAGATAAGAAACAGGTTTATAGACTATAATATTTTTTATACATATTATACTCTTTCTATCTTTTCTAAATAAATAAAAAAATAAAAAAGATTTAACTCTAGATCTTAAACGCTATAATTAAGAGGCCTAGTAACCTACTTAAAACACACCTTTTTCTAAAGATTGTACAAAATAATGTAAACAACATCTCTAATAATCCTCTATACATTACTGTAAACATTAGGAAAAATAGCGTTATAGATCTTCTAAAGAGTGCTAGTAAGCTCTGTATAATAAAAGAGCTTTTAGAAGGTAGATTTTTTAAGAAAATTAACTTTAAGACAACTATAATATACCTTATGCTTAAGCAGCACCTAGACAAGCAGTTATTATGCAGTAGAAATCTAGAATTATCTTCTATTAAAATAGAATTACACTTAAAAAAAGCTGCTAAAAAAAAAAGTGTAAAAAAAGACTTCTTATAAATTAAATAGAAGTTAAAAACGCTAAAGCTACAACACTATGTAAAGAAAAAGCCCTTATATAAAAAAAAGCGTGTAATATCCTAGGTATTAGATATCTAAAAAGCTTACTCTGTTAAACTTCTAAATCTTAACATTATAGATAAGAAAAATTTAGTACTGTACAAACTTTACTTAAAGCGTTAGAAGACAGACATTATATAAGATTAAATTACTTTTTTACCCTTCTCTAGCTTACACATAGTCTTTTATAATTTCTTATTATTATATTACTACTAGTTATTTTCTATACTTTTCTATAGCGTTAAACAAGATATTATTATACAATAGGCATCTCTCTTAAATATGTAAATATTAAACATTTACTGTTACTACTTATAGTATCTTATAGTGCAGTAAGGCCTTATCTAACTATTTACACCTACTACATAAGCGCTTTTTGTTATTGTACAGTAAGCTAAGCGTTTAGGCAGAGTAGTTAGAAGCATAGAGTAGAGTATTTACTTAGAATGCATTACAGGAAAAGTACTGCTTATATAAGTATATATAGACTACTCTTTCTTAACCTTTTCTTTTTTATTCTTCTTTAACTCTACATATAACAACTTAAGGTAACATCTCTTTCTGTAAGATTCCTTTACTATATAATTAGTGTTAAGCCTTACTTCTTACTAAATATAGCTAAATATGTCTTTTAACAACGTCTTTTTTAACAACTAAACTATTAGCCCTCTTTTAGCTTCTATAACAAGCTATGTTTAAGCCTATGCAGCTATCTTTGCCTAAGCAGATGCCTGCTTTTAAATAAACGCCCTTATAAATGTTTAAATCCTTATTCCTGCTTTTAGCAGTACTAATCTTCCTTCTATAACTTTTCTACGCTAGGGCATGTAGTATAAAAAGGTTAACATCTTTAATCTAGTTATTACTTAGTACCTCTTATAGGTCTTCTGCTTTACTGTATAAACTTTTTTCTTTATAATAATTTAAAGTATATGCTTACTTTCTTTTAAAGCGTAGAAATTACCTAGGCTACTAATTTTTTTATCTGCATATTTAGCTTTTTTTTATATAACGCCCTTAATACTTTTTTTATTACCTGCTGTAGTACTATCTTAGCTAATTAAATTCTTTCCTAGCGCTAGAGCTACCTTAAAGCTATTATTATCTATACTTATAGTAGCTATAACTAGGTTCCTTGCTAGCGTTACTAGGCTGCGTACAATTGTACAGGCAACTTCCTCTACTATGCAGGATGTATTTCTCTCTATACTTAGTAGCAAGGTGCTTACTTAAACTGCGTTTATAACAATTATAGTAATACCTGCAGTTTAAAGGGCAATAACAGTAAGCTTTTATACAATAACTACTAGAAGAAGTTAGACAAGAATAAGAGGGATAAGGATAAGAATAAATAAGAGAGTAAGTATCTAAAAGATAAGAAGTTAGGCTGTTTAACCTAGTCTAGCAACACTTTTATTAGCTTTAATTAATTAGGAGATGTCCTCTGTCCTTGTACAGAGTAGCTTCTCTTCTTTTATATGTATTTCCTCTGTCCTTAAACAGTAGGATACCCTCCTATATAGCCTACATTAGCCTTGCAAGATAGGATTAATAATATTTTTTACTTATATTTATATATTACTATTATACAATGTAATATTTATTACCCTAATTGCTATACGCTGCTTAATAAGCGCCTGCGATACATAGTAGTGGTGTTTTCGCGATTTTCGTTTGAGTTTTGTCCCCTCACCCGCTTATCGTCCGCCGTACCCGTGTGACCGACGAACCCGTGGAGTACGTTAACGATTTTTGCAAAAGCGTCCTAGTTCTGGACCACGTTAGATCCACGGAACTTGTGCGGATGACGTGTCATTATCTCCGCATAGCATCGCAAGGCTGAATCCCATGGATTGGGAAATGGTTAAGTCCGAAATTACATGGACGCCTGGGCTTAAAACGTCGTAGAGCTTGTATTGATGTCCAGGGAGGAAATATGCGGGGACGACATTAGGTCATTGCCCCGCTCCAGCCTCCTCGGACCCTCAAGCAGTCGTCGAGGAAGAACAAGTGAGTCGGTTAGAAAACTTTGAAGCTGGCTGTACCAACGTTTGCATGGATGAGGTTGTCCAACAACCCTGGCTTGTCTTCTTCTGCTGTCATCTGCCGCCTTCTGTGGCCAAAACGGGGTCTGCCTAACTAGGGCCCTAAACAAGCCCCACTCAGGTGAGCCCGGACATACCAACGTAATGGAATATGGATGATCCAAGGCTTTCACAGCGCCTTGTGGTGCATGATGAGCTTTGATATGGTCTGCAGCCAATTGAAGTTAACAAAGCACCCAGCAAGCTTCCACGAGTATAGCACAAGTTGGTACTGCGCCACATCAATCAGCATAAGAGCAGTGCTCAACGAAGTACTTATAGCGGTTCATGCCCATAAACCAAAATCATTCTTTCACCATCATCCCAAATTCCTCAGAGAAAGCATATTATCACTCAGTTAGGCCATTGTTTCAACCATGAAGTTCCCAGAAACCAATCAAGAAGAGCCTCTGTCTGCATACATGGCGGAAAAGCCGAAACCAAATCCATCATTCACACACCGCGGCCCTCTGGACGACGTATAAAGGATGTAACTTAACTTATATACAGACGAAAGAAAGAGCTTTTAGAGGTATTTCTGGGCCACCTATTATTAGGAGGGTTCTTGTTTAGGAACCTAAATGAGCTATTTTAGCGCCAATGCTATTTATAGCATAGTTCCCATTATTGGTCTCTTAGAGTGATACACATTGCTCTTACCATGGTTTGAAGACCCCGAAGAGGTACACTCGACAGGCAGTGAATGAGGGTAGATCTCGTAAAAGAGATTTAATTTAATTAATATCCGTTCCTGAATCGCAAGACGCACCCTATCGAGAGGCAAAGCATAGTTACATCCAGATTAATGAAGAATCTCTTAACTTTTGAGTGCGCTGAATTGCTCGCTTCAATATAAAGATTCTAGGAAGCCCGCTTACAGCCCTACGATGATCCGGTTGCGCTCTGACGTCCCTCCCTGCGTAACACCAAACCCTCCGTGCCGTAAAAATCTTTCAAGTTGTGCAATTTATTTCCTGAGACCGCTGTTAATTGAATTGTAACCATTGCGTCTGAGTTCTCTAGGTTCTTCCTCCTAACTAGAACGAGACCTTGAGGACCAAGAAACATGCCATAGCGAAGCGGTGAAGCTTATGTTGGGGGCACAGACAAAGATTCGAAATATCAAGAATTTGATAATGGAATACAAGTGATTCCATGGGGAGCCGTCGACATGGCTCTTGGAAAAATCGGTCTTGAACTTGCTACAGCCATGCAAGAAGAAAACCGCACATTGGACAGCAGGAATGGCAAAGGAGGGGAATTACCTTTCAACTACGAGGGGAGGAAGCCAGCTCCCATCATTCCCGGATTTTCGGGGTGCTGCCTAAAGCGCCAAGCGTGGCGGATGTATAGTGTTGCTTCTAGAGGTTGTTGTATCAATTAAACCATGATATAGCGTTCACATATACTGCCACCCCTTCGCTCCTAGCACATTTCTTACATCGCCCAATTCCAATTGGAAAACCATTTGTCTATGACGCCAGTCCACCTCTGACACCCATCTAGAGAGTAGATTCATACAGAATCTTGGCTCCATCAGATCCATAAGCGTCTCAGCGTATTCCCAAGTTATCTGGAGTTGACCGTCATCCGATTTCCACTCTAGAAGTAGGAAAACATCCAGAAATTGTTTCCTTTTCCATAATAAGGCAAATATGTAGTAGGAAAATTCCACCTTGATATGGTTGTCGGCGCAAGCTGGCTCTTCCCCCGAGTACCAGGCCATGTCCAAGACACGAATGATATTTTCCAGTTTGATGGCGCCTCGATTCTGCAAGTTGTCCAAATTATAGTCCTCAGTAGCTTCATAGCTTTCAACGAGGGCTGCTGGGAGGAAACGCGTTCCCACCAGGGCATAGGTCGTATGGTCACACACGCTTGGCCGTGAGTATCGAACCAGAAAGGCAGGACGCTTTCGTCTGCACCAACCCACAACCTCGAGTAGCACATTGTTCTCGTCAACGGGATCCATCAGGTGTAAACGGCGAAGCATTTATTGGGCACACCCCAAATAGATTGCAGACAAGCGATCATATCCAACAAATGGTGCTTAGGGGAGGCAGGGAACGGGGAAGACAAATATGTTCTCCGCCGCATCGAGATGTCTGAATATAGAACGGCCCGCCAGGGCGTGAGACTGGCTCATTTATAGACCCTGTCAGATAGGTGTCGATATATATAGATGCGACTGATGCGATGCTTCCAAAACAGTGTCCCGGGGACAATTCAGGCTGGCCGTGCCTACATAAACCTCGTCTGCAGCCCAACGAGCAGGGTAAACTACTTCTTCACCGGCCAATCTTAAAGAATCGTACACGAGAGTAATATTAGCCTCTGAAATCATGTTTATCGGCTGTGGCTGTATCTTTCTGTGTGGTTGCGCTGTGGTATGGCGCAAAAGAAAGTCTGGGGACAACGATCCGGAGGGTAATGTGCAAGCACAGGAAATTTTAGAAGCAGTGGAAGAACATCTTGCTCTGGTAAAGGCTCGGATGGCACGGATGTACAAGCGACGCCGTCCTAGTGCCGTCGATCCACCACAGAATTCGTGCAACGCATCTACAACAGATTCGAAACAGGCATAAAGTACGCGGGGAAATCGTTTCACTTGAGTTATTCATCCTAGTAACTACAATAAATGTCTTAAACGTGACGAAACATTTGGTGCAATAGATATCTGGCATCGTGATTCCCTTAAAGCTTGCAAGAAAGTTTGAGTGCCTAATCTGAACCCTTTAAGATTAACGTTAGCAATCATTTCCCGTGCTAGCTTGGTAATTTATTAAAGCTAACGTTAGAAGATGGGAATATAGGCGAAAGAAGCTGCGGTTACTAGGGTCTGACTAAGCTAAGTTACCTATTATTGGGCAGGTCCTGTTTCGTGACCTTTGGAATGGTTATTTTAGAGTACCATTTATAACTTTAGTTCGTAGTGGTAAGTTAAATAAGCTAAGTCGAAAAAGCCCTTTACCGGCAACGGCATGCCTGGCTTGGCACGTAATCGCAATCCGCACTCTCCCCATCGTCTATAGTAACTAAAATACGCAGATGTTTTTCCTCCGCTTCCTGTAGCCGCTTTAAAGCACTCCCTAATTTGCGCACGAGTGTGCCGTCTCTCTTCCCGGTGAGCTGTCTCACTGCCTTCCTTTTCACTCCACGCTTTTCCCAGAAATGGTAAAGATTACGGCCGCCGTGTTTATGATACTTCTTGTTCCATAGTTCATAGCTCCACGCACTGAACATTTTCTTGTGGAGTGGATACAACGTCTGGGCAAGCCGCCGGTTAGGCTTGGCGCGGACTCGTTCCCATTGCTCCCACATGTTCTCCCATGCCGCGGCAAGGCTCGCTGCGCTCTTTGCTTTATACTCTCTAGAAGCCCAATTTACCATCTCTGGGGACCGTAGTGTTGACTGCTTTCGCTGCGCTCGACGTCGGGGGCTCTGACCGGGATTGTCATTGTCCAAGCCCATTTCGTCATCAGAACTGTCGATAAAAATGGGTTGACCGCCATTGTCATCCACGATGATGGATTCAGCAGGTTCATCGGATTCATAGATCGAAATAGGCAGGTCTGGTTCATCTGTTAATGGTATTACTGCCAAAAGGAGGCAAGTGAGGTACCCGAGCTTTCTTGCGTCACTCTTTGCCCGCCACGGCTTGCTTCTCGAGAGCGTGACGCAGTGTATAGTATTGTGGAATCTGTTCCCGTATCGGCACGGCATTCACTCGAATCCACGGAGGCAATACCATCATCAACATCGGCCATCAATTCCTCAGCCTCGCTTGGCGGGCTATCGACGCTGAGACCTACATCAAGTGTCATGGCCTGGGTGACGGTTTCCTGAGCATTCCCTTCGCCCTCCGGCTCTTTCGCGGGTACGACTCGGCGAGGTGATTCTGGAAGCTGCACAGGCTCCTCTGTTGTCTGCTGAATGCCCTCTCTCGATTCAGGCTCCTGTTCAGAGGCTGAGATTGTGGCGGCTTCTGCTGGACTTGATTCGGACACCGCAGGTGCTACGAGCAAATCCATAGCTTGATTGGATTCTATACGGCTTGCTTGCGGGCTCTGAGGCTGGAACCATGGCTTGATCGACATCTTCCGTTTGCGAAGCAGTGGATGCCGCAGTATGCTCCGGAAGACATAGCTTCATAGTCGGGCTAGCACTGTCATCGGCTTGTCTCACGTTGACAATCCCCAATGCGCACAAGGCATCTGCTGCTTGTGTCTCTGCGGTATTATCTTCAGAGGTTGTCTCCCCAAAGCTCGAATCAACATCTCCTTCGGCAGAAGAATACGGGGAGGAGTGTGCGCGGCACATTACAGCAATACGTTGTCGCGCATGCGGATTTTGTGTCGAGGATTCCGGACGGCGTGCCCAGTGAAGTTGCGGCGCCGTTGCTGTGCGCAGGACTCAGTTTGGCAGGAGCAGTATCGAAGTGCGAGCCTGAGGTCAAGGAGGGGGAGTGGGTTGCCATTGTCGGGGCGGGAGGCGGGTTGGGACATATTGGGGTGCAGATTGCGGCCAAGACGAAGGGGTATCGGGTTATTGCTATTGATAGTGGGGTGGAGAAGGAGAGGCTGTGCAAGGAGATGGGAGCGGAGGTGTTTGTGGATTTTGCGAAGGAAGATGTGGTGAAGACGGTGCAGGGGATGACGGATGGAGAGGGTGCGCATGCGGTGATTTGCGTGGCGGGGACCGAGAAGGCGTATGAGCAGGCGGTGAATTTGGTGAGGAATAATGGGGTCTTTGTCTGCGTGGGTTTGCCGCCGGATACGTATATGTTTCCTATGTCGCCCATTCAGATCGCGAATCGAGGTGAGTTTGTCCAACAGGGTGCTCGGGGGACAAGTGCGCTAATAGATGGATATAGGCCTGGTCATCAAAGGATCTTCGACGGGTACGAGTGAACAAATGGATGAGCTCCTTCAGCATGCTCTGCAAGGGAAGATAACGCCTAAGATCGAAGTGTATGAATTCTCCGAATCTCCGAAGATCATCGAAGAGCTGCAGCGGTACGAAGTCAGCGGTAGGAAAGTAGTCAAAGCGCCATGAGATCGCGAAACCAAATCGAAGTCTTCTCAATCGGTGCAGCGTTGTGCTTGAGAACATGAACACCATACTGAGTTTGTTTCGGTTCGAGGCCAAGTTGCAATCTTCAGGAGGCAAAGGCCTGCCTCGCTGCCAGGCCCCGCTGAACAAAAGCGAGGCTGACTCTTATATTAACGCAAGGGCTGGAAAACAATGCAGAGATAGTCATATTGTTGGTCCAATGCTACTGTACAGAAGACTATCTAATCTCTCACACTAGCATACTACAAGCGGGTAACACATCAACGACGCTGTTCGATCAAGATTGAGAATGAAATCTCCCTCATGAATATCAAATCCAAAGCTGATCATCCCACACAGTAAGCGTTTCCAAGAACCAAATTACTGCACTGCGAGTCGACGCCCCTATTCAATTGGCGGAATCGACTGACAATAATGCCATACTGCGTCGCAATCGATTCGCAAGTATCACCTATCACACTGGTTAGCTTCTATCTCTCTTCATCGCCGCAAAAGGTATTCTTACCCTGCTTATACACATGCCACTTCGTACAAGTCGGGCTAGTACCCGACTGTGTTGGGCCCGGCGGACCCGCAGACGATACGGAAGACGGTTTCATCGTACTCGTTATCGGCATCGAGGAGATGGTAGTAGAGGGCTCGATCCACACTCTCACGCAATATGCCATGCCTGTACCCAGATTCCCGCACTGCGCATTGATGGTGGGGTTCCATTGCCGGAACAACGAGTCCGAGATCTTGTATTTTGCTTCGACGCCGTTGCAAGTATCGCCCGGACCAACGACGTGCCATTTGTTGCAGTTGTTGGGTGTACCCGTGCTGGTGGGCGCGGGAGGAGCGACCCAGCCGTCAGGGATGATGGTGGAAACGGTGGGGTAGCATGAGGACGCGATGTTGGTAGGACTGGGAAGAATGGCGGCAGTGGGGTCGGGGTTGCAGTAGGGGTCCCAGGACTCTAGGCATTCGTCGGAGAGGTCCCAGGAGTGGAGGTGGACTTCGTCGTCGGCTAGTCCCGCGTCCCAGGATGGATCGTCTTCTTTGAGGAAGGGGCAGTTGGAAATGCGGGCCGCGATCGCGGTGACGGACTCTGGGGGTTGTGCGGTTGCAGTGAGCGTTGGTATCGACACCCCGTCTGTCGGGAACAACCAAGACGTTGTAAAGTTCATAGAGCTAGACACCGAGTTTGGCACGCTGCCCCAGCTATAGGTCGATTCTGGTGCCTTGCTGGTCGTGGCCGGAGGTGTTGGTTCGCCTCCAATTGGCGTGAAGAGTGTCGTTGATCCCGGCGGGGAGATGCAAATATATTTGCCTGCCATGGATGCAAGGTTCAGACAATCGTGACCGATTGTTGGGTTCCAGCTGGTGAACATGAGCGAATCTACACCGCTGCCACTGGCTTTGATCAGAGAGCTGCAAGTATCGCCCACAACAACTTGGCGAAGCACACATTTCGCAACATTGTCGAGACACAGAACCTCTCCTCCCTTGAAAGTCTCATTCATCGACAAAGGAAGGTTGTTGTAAGTAAGAAGACGGTCGGTCGAGACGGAGAGACTTTTGGCAAGTGCGTTGGCGGTATCGCCGGCCTTTGCAGTGGCTTTGGTCGTGCATGTAGGTCTGTGGATGTCAGGGATGGAAAGACTGCGGAATATGAAGACTCACGTTGGGCCGGGTGTTCCCACTGGTGAAGTTGGCTTCACGGGGTACGAACTCGTGGGTATACCACAAGATTGCTTCAGTGAGTTAAAATCGTCTGGCGTCCATCCGTCATCGGCCTCTAGCGGCTCGCTGAATCCTAACTGTACAGTCTTCATGTAGCAGTCAGAACACAACTTCTCTGCTGTGATGTCGCTAAGCACGTCTTTGCAAAAGCCTCCATTCCGTATACGCTGGAGATGTTAGCAAGAATCGCGAATTTCCCCTGGATGAGACGTATCTTGGAGACATGTCAAGTTGTAGTTAAACACAAGCTCACCCGCGAGGTTCAACGGCGTGAGTATGGTCCACATAGTGTCGTTTACAGCAGTAACGTTTACACTACCTGTTCCGCAAGTCGAAGAAGCTTTGGTGTACATGGCATTCAGCGCTGCCCCACAACTGGTAGTACATATCTCGCTCAATGAATCCGCTGGAATAAATTCCACGGGATACTGTAGCATATCCGAGCATTGTGTGATGTTTTCCGCCAAAGCCGATCTGCAGGCGGCTCGGACAGACCCAGGAAGGTGCCCTGTGGACGGAATAACACTCAAGGAAACCACGAAGCTGCAAAACGATAAAAGAGTGTAGAGAAGCATGTTGATAGAGACAGAATGAAAGACTACTTGCGAATAGTCTCAAGAGCGAGCGAGCGACTGAGTTCAGTAGGGGGCAAAGCTCAGAGGAGCAGCGAAGCAGGTCGTTCCACTTTCTCGCACAGCATGATCCATTGTAATTGACGTGCCCCTTCGACATTCTGCAGGGTCCCAAATTCGGCCGTACATGCTATCGATACAGGGTCGCGAAGGATGGTGATCGGGCCGCATCTCGCAGGGCTGCACGCGGGGCGAACACCTGTTCGTCATAGCTTGGGCGGCACGGCGGCGGTACCTGCCACCAACGGGCGGGTTTTGGACTCTTGGCGTAAGATCTGGGCACTTTATTCCCCTGCTGCGTAAAGAAACGGTAATTTACTGGCCATAACGGCAGGGTTTCAGATCCTGATTCATTACCAAGTGCAAGAGCTTCATCTCACATCCAACTCCAACGCTCGGACGTCCACCTCTCATTCGTCTACCTGAGTCTATAGCAGGGCGTAAATTCAATATCCTCACTACGCCGCTCTCACCGGATACGAGGTCGGACTTCCCGTCCCTCTACGGGCGAAATGATAATGCAATCGGTTATGGCGGAGGCATCTGCAGGGGTCGATCGCCTGCAGTCGTCCCATGGTAAACGCTCTCTATATCCCATCATGATGCTCGAAGTGGCGAGGGGCAGTATCGTCCAGAGCAGGTCGCGCTCTGTCGTTTTACGTTGACTGACAGGTCCTTCCTTACGCCTTCCGTCAGAAGTCTCTCTTTGACACACTCATTTCAGTCCTTTGCACTTGTTCGCTATTATTCCTGAGCATTGTTGTTGTCAACTATCAGTGGCTCGCGAATGTCACGATAGTTGTACGTCACAATGGCTTCTACACTCTCGTTACGCTATCTATTAGCATTACTCTTGACCCTATCTGTCGTTTCTTTTGTTTCTTCTCAGCAAGGGGCTACCTGCGATGAAGAAAATCCGTGCAAGGTCGGATGCTGCTCCAAATCAGGCAGTTGTGGGTTTGGAGATGATTGGTGCGCGCCAAACAACTGTATCGGCACTTGCAACGCCACCGCCGAATGTGGCCAGTGGGCAGACCCGAAAGGCAAGGAGTGCCCATTGAAGGTCTGCTGTAGTCGCTGGGGCTTCTGCGGGACAACTGACGAATTCTGTGCAACATCATCAAACAAGAACGAAAGCTGCCAGAGCAACTGTGAGACTCCAGAGCGCAAGAAATGTGCTTCGTCGTGGAGGAAAAGACGAATTGCCTACTACGAATCATGGGCCGACACCAGGGACTGCGACTCTTTTCGGCCAGAAGATATCCCTGTTCATGCGCTAACTCACATCAACATCGCTTTTGGCGGCATCAGCAGCGACTTTAAAGTCACAATTGACAGCTCGGGGATCATTTCTCGGGTCGTTAAATTGAAGCGTCAGAACCCAGCGCTCCAAGTTATTCTCTCCATCGGCGGTTGGACATTCACGGATCCTGGTGAGTACCCATTCAGTCCATTTATGGTGTCTTGCTAATCAGGTTTGGGACATAGGCCCTACACGAGACGCCTGGACGAACATGGCTGCCAGTTCTTCGTCCCGAGAAACCTTTGCCAAGAGTGTGGTAGAAACTCTGGAGAAATACGCATTAGACGGCATTGACCTGGATTGGGAGTATCGTTAGTTCTACCGCCTTAATTATTATACCGAGTAGCACTCATTCTTTTACAGCGGAAGCGGATGACCGTGGGGGCAATAAGGCGGACTACGACAATTATGTCTACCTTCTGCGCGCCATCAAATCCCAATTCGACGACCACAATCCTTCCTGGACACTCTCCGTCGCAATACCAGCTAGCTACTGGTATCTGCAGCACTTTGATGTGAACAGTATGCAGAGAGAAGTAGATTGGTTCAAGTAAGCACCTTCCGACTGTCTCGAGACATGGAATTGGACTAACCCCAGTAGTATGATGACATACGATCAGCGCGGAAAATGGGATCAGAACAATCCATGGACAGGGCCATATGTCTTCGGTCATACCAATGTTACTGAAATCGAAGTTGGTCTCGATCTACTCCGCCGCAATGATGTCGACTTGTCCAAGGTCAACTTGGGGACCGGTAAGCCAACCTGCTGCGATTTGAAGCTGTGGTTTCTGAATTAGTATAGGGTTTTACGGCCGCACCTTCACCCTGGCTGACCCTAAATGCAATGAGCCTGGGTGTGTCTTCGCGGATGCCGGCGAAGCGGGCGAGTGTTCCGGTGAACGGGGTATTCTTTCCTTCAAGGAGATCATGGCAAGATCCAACCGTCTGAACGAGAAAAAGATTGTGTACGAAAACTCCACTGGAGTGACGTACATGGTGTACGATGATACGCAGTGGATCACATATGACGACGCCAAAAGTTTCGCCAAGAAGCGAGAGCTTCTTGACAGCGAGTGCTTGGGTGGTGTCATGATATGGGCCATTGATCAAGATACACCAGACTTCCAGGCACTCTCAGGGCTCCTTGGAGACGAGTTCGTGACTGGGGCTCTGATAGAGGGAGGAACACTTTCCGACGAAGAGAAGGATGCCCTTGCGAAAGAGTTGGGTGGACTTACTGGTGACGGCTGCTACGTCACGATGGGTTGCTCTGGCCCGGGCAGCAGCGGCAAGTTCAACACCTGCGCAAAAGGCGACATCCCCATCGAGCGTTTGCATGCTCCTGGCGGAGCGGCCGGAAATGTCTACTCAACCGGAAATTTGGCGCAGGAGATTGAGACATGTGCGAAAGGGCAGTGGAAAACAGTGTGCTGTTCGCCTAAGAGCCCAGCGGTCAACTGCAAGTGGGTTGGAGCTCCCGAACGCAGTTCGTTCTACTGCGATGGGGGTTTCGAAGAGAAAACTTGCGGAGACGGCCGTTACGAATTGGTCACGGATCAGTACACTACCTACGAGGGTGGTGCGAAGTGTGCCAGCGGAGCGCGATCATTATGCTGCGACGCGGCCCCCGAGCTTCAGCAATGTCATTGGTCCGACTGCCAGTCTGAGTTGAAGTGTCCCTCAGGCGGTCCCCTCACCTACCGAGGGAACGAGGCCGGGGGCAAGCCATGTCCCAAAGGCCAGTATCAGTCTTACTGTTGTCCAATCGCGGGCATATATCAAGACTGTCAATGGAAACCGAACGTACAGAAACCGGAGACGAAGAATGGCCAGACGACGTACTTTCAATCGACCATGCAGCAATGTATGGACACGAAGTGCGGCAAAGGCCAGGTTACCATCGCGAAAGCAACACTCCCAGAGAGGCCAGCTGGCCTACCGGCACCTTGTGGGTCGTACAATCCAGGAATAGACCATCTCTTTTGCTGCGATCCTCTGCGAAACGTCTCACTTCCATTTGACCTCAAAAAGATCTTTCCGAACCCTCATGGGTTCGACGTCGTATACGAATACAAGGACAACGTAAGATGATCAGGAAGCCCATGTTCCTGTATTTTGCAACTGACTTTTCGGTAGTATGGCAACAATGACCACGACCCGCACGGTCCGGACGAAACCGACGTCGGCGACGATCCCTATGGTTTCGTTCTTCTCGACGGGGACGAGGGTGCCTTGCAGGGCAACTTTCCCCGAGACTACGTTTTTGTCCATGAAGAAGACGGAACTGGAAATCCGATCAAGAGGCGTGAGACCCTCACCCGGGACAATCCAGATCTCATGGATTGGACTTTCGAACACGAAGAAGGCACTCATCTTGTCTATTGCCGATCAGGCCGCGAAGAGCACTGTGAAAAGATCTTCATGGACAACGCGCACGATACCATCATCGCTCTGCCCCGACACATTGGGTAAGTGCTGTTCTCATTGTCATTCATTCGACTCTCGCGACAGCCACACCGGTTGTACTAACACTCCTCAACGTGCTCCACTAACTCTTCATTAGATCAGGTCCGTTCGCACGGGTTGTTTCCATGGAGCCGGTCGATGAGACACATTTGCCAGAGTATCACCTGCGAAAACGCTCAGAAGCGGGCCATACCTCAAAGGTCTACAAGCTTGTCTTCGATTATCACTTCGAAAACATCCGGCGTGAGGACCAGACCGTTAACATCCGAATCGATTACACCAACTTGGTCCCTTACTGGGACGATATGACTGGCTCTGAGTCTCCCAAAGGGGCTACCAAACGCTCGCGCCATGAAAAACGTTTCTGGGGGGAGCTCACTGAATGGCTCAAACAGCTCAACAAAGTCCAGACATCCGACGAAGGAAAGCTGCCTATGTCACTGCACAAGCGGATGCTCCTGTACCGCAAGCGGGCACAGTGCGCAAGAGGCAACACTGTCTTGAAAGCTGGCTTGGATGTCACACTCGATACGAAGTTCGACATGAATGCGCGATGGGCATATTATGCACAAGGCACCATTGTACCGTTGAACGTAGAGCAAATCTATGCGTATTTTGGTAAGTCACGTTTCCCAGGCTCAATTGCTCAGGATACTTGCAGCTGACAACTTCCACAGAGATGGAGCCAGTAGCTGAAGCAACGCTGGAGGTAGAAGGCAATGCAGAGATCGAATACAGGATGAAGGAGCGTCTGAAGATTATTGATACGCTGTCATATCCGGGTCTCGCTATCAAAGGGTACGCCTTGTCGCATCGCTTTGTCTTCGCTTAAGCTAACTAAAGTTCAGCATCGCTGCTATTGGGCCAACGTTGGATGTCTATGGCGAAATGCGGGCCAAGGCAACGGTAGCAGGAAAGTTAAAAGCCGGCGCGAAAATCACGTTCCCGAAATACGAGATCTATTTCCCACAGGTGAAAGAGGCGGAGGCGAGACAAAAGTTTGACAAGCCGGCCGAGAGCGCGGAGCAAGGATCAAAAGGAACAGGTATGCTGCAGCAGTGGCATCGAGCCATCCTCAAGTTACTAATAACTCTCTACAGACTTTGACCCAATCCTTGATGCTTCTGTGCAAGCATCGGTTGGTCTTGACCTGTTGATTACCCCAGAGGTCAATCTGGGAATCAAGGTCAACACACCCAGCATCAAAGGTGACATCGTAAATGCGCAGGTTCGTCAAATGTCCTACCTATCGTCGGTAGAATATCCTTGGAGGCATTTGGTTTTCTGACGCAAGCAGATCGTTGGTTTCATTAACAACACCTTCCGATTCGAAGTAACCGGGAAGGCGCAAGGAGGAATTGGGAACACACCCGCCTTGTCATACGATATCTTCATCAAGTATCTCTACAATTTCGGGATTGGTGGAAAAGCTACGTAAGTCTCTTTGCCCAACAGCTCAAATTTTCATTCTGATCTCTCTCTAGGTTCAAATGGCTAGGTGATTATGCGCTGAAGCGTAAGTAAGCCCATTGCATGACATGATTCTGTGCTCATCAAAACAGCACTCCAATTGTGGCCCCAGGACAGAGAGAAGATTCTTTATGAGCATCATGGTGTAAGTGTCATTTCACATATCCTATAGATCTGGAATCGACCGGAGCGTTGGCCTAGGTGCAACGCCTGGTCAACATTGTTGTGGCGGGTGCTTACAGCGATCCTATGGCACTGACTGACATTGTCGCAGCAAGTCTCCCTCGGAAAACGCAACCCCTTCATCTCCGATAGCGAGTACAAGGACGAGTTTTCTCCGCTCTACAACTCGACATACTGGTTCGATGAAGATTTTCACAATACCGGAGGTGCATTGTCGAGTCTCCATAGGCGCGAAGAGGGCGAGGAAGCCAGCGCTCTGAACGAAAAGGCCACCAGCTTCTTCACTTGCAACGATGGTGGTCAATGCCCGAGCGGGGCTTGTGCTGGCGATGCATGTGAATGGGTCCCTGGCAAAAAGCCTTCGACGTCCAAAACACGCCGAGCTGACGATGACGGTGATCCGATGGATGTCGATCCAGTCACGCCCTGCATCAACAGTATACCCGCCTTCATGTACAATTGCAAGTTCTTCGTTGACGAAGACATTGGCCATTGGAATGGTCCATTCCCGGGGATCTGCACAAACATTATGAGCTTCTTCTCATCTCAAGGGCTGGGCTCCGGCCCGTTCACTGCAAGCTTTAGCACTTTTGGTTCCTCTGACGACAGCTCGAACCGGAACAATGTATGCGGATCCAGGTCTTCGCACACTCACACGTATACGAACGCGAAAGGCGAACAGGTGACCGTTACGGAAACATGGGCCGACCGATGCATAAGAGAATCAAACGAATTTGCCAAAGCAACTTCGAGAGACCAAGGCATACCAGGTAACAAAAATTGGCTCAGTTGCGACGAATTCCCTTTCAACTCGTAGGTTTTTTCAATCGATACTACCAACTATACTGATGGTCTCGCAGCATGAATGAAGGCGGCAATTCCATCACCAATTCGCGCTCATGTGTACCTGGATATGAGCAAGAAATCCAAGGAGCTGTCAACAAGCTTCCCACACGCATATCACAGACAGTGACTTGGGCAGATGAGGCAGGAAACCAAAAATCTGCCCCCAAGCGATGGGATCAAGATTGGGAAGGCTCGAACGCGCTGTATGGCTCGGGTGGCAGACAAGGATCGCCCAACAAGAATTCGGCTTGGAACTGGGCCTACAACAACCGGAAAGAATTTACTTTCCATCTGTTCAACTCAGATTCAGCCACCACACCCCAAGGAGGCGCATATCAGATTTTCAACCACCAGCTCAAGTCCGGAGACATTACAACTGTGATTGCTGCCATCAACACTATGGACAATTCGAAATATAAGGTCGACGGAAACCAGAATGCATATTGCACGAACGGCTTAAGAACTCCTCATTACGTTTGGGGAACCGCTAACGGCCGGTTCGTCAAAGCAAAGTTATGCACTGTTGAGTTTGACAATGCTGCCGCTGCTTCCAAGATCAAAAGAGGCGAGCAGCCAACCCAGGAGGAGATGTTCAAGATCAAGAGTAAGCCATCTAAACACCTGCATGCTGATAACATTGGCTGACTATGTATAGGTGTTGAAATGTCTGATGATGCGGAAGAGTTCGAGATACCACTAGGAGACTTCAGCCAAGAGGCCGGTGCCGCGGCCACGCACAGCGTCGCTGAAGATGGCATGAGCACAACGGGCGAGAAGGAACATCAACATAACCACTACCACCGGCATGCACATCTTCACCGGTCCGGTTGGTCATGAGTATGATTCGCAAAGTTCGGGTGCAATGGTGTAAACCGCTTGGAGGTCACGACTTGATGGAGTGAATTTCGTGTACATGTGTTAATTGTCTAGTAAATCAATGCTCTGGAAATCTGAAAGGGGAATACTGCTCTAGTCTCCATGATTTGGATGACAGACGGGCGGGAGGCCGATCACTGTGATGCTGCGAAACCTTCTAGTCGATAATAACTATCTCGCTAGCCTTGAGTTCCTTAGTCACTTGCCCACCCATCACCTCGATGAACATATATTTCTGTATCTTCCAGCAATGTAGTTTCGCTCAACGCAATCCCCTCCGGTTGCCAATTGGCATTTTCCGTGGATGTTTGACTCGCTTTGGATCGGACACGCCCCGGAAGCACTTCTCCCCTGTTATTCAACCCAATCTGAAGCACCCAACCGCTTTCGCAAGCTTTCCTGTCAGCTATCATAACCAGCAGATTCTGGTCGTGGTCCTCATCAACGTGACTCAGGTCATGGCCACCACTGAGCCCTATCAATTGGTCAGGACAGTGCATCAACACGTTTACTATAAAGTCAGGTGTGGATCCAGTTGGCGCTACATCCTCATCTGCACTGCGTTGGATCACACCATAGGCAGCCGGGTCGTCGTCGAAGATGAACGATCTATGCCACGCACGATGATCGTCGAAGGCCTCATCCGGGTCGTCCGGGTCATCAAAGAAGGCTCTTCGCCAAAGCCGACGATAATCAGCATCGGCCGTGGCACGGCTCACCGTCTCTGTCTGAGCCGCTTCTGTCGCCTCGCCACCAGAACGTGACATTGATGCTGCCGCCTTTTCCGAGCCGTACCATGTCCTGACCCAAAAGCCATTGCTCACGCCAAGTTGGCCATTGACACGGCGCTCATTGTCGGTCAGAAGATCTTGTGGGACATGCTCTGGTATCTCCCAATCAAAATCGTCGAGTTTCCGAAGGTAGGGCTTCGCGCGTAAGTTCTGGACACTACATAGGGGCACGCAATAACGGCAGTAAGCAGAACCAACTCACATTGCGTCCGATGTTGCCGAGCTTCATCCACTTGCGCACAAGGGTCTTCTTTTGCTCCTCCTTGGTCAAGGCAGACTCTGGATCCCATTGCTCCTGTGGAGACTGTCAGCTTGGGGTCATGCGAAGACGGATTGAAGACTCAAGGATCCGTTCACCGGACGTACAATAACGAACATATCAAAGGCGGTATGCCCGAAAACGATAATATCATAACTTTCTAGATCAGCCATTACGCCCGAGAATAGCGCGATTGTACAGGAATCTGATGATGCAAGCAAAGGGGGTAAACGTGGGTACGGAGGGGCAAGATGAGAGCCAAGACTTCTTGTAGCCTTGAAGGGGCAGCCTTATATGGATGGGGCCGAGACGGCGCTCTGGCCTTGCAATGGAAGGCACCAGTTCCTGCATGAAGGAGGCGAAGCCCGGGAGAAGTCTTAGCGGGACTTCTTGGCCGTGAGCTAAGAGCCGAACCGAAGCTTGGAAAACAAGAACATCTATTGTGTGCGTTAATCCGTGCAATGTCTTGGCATTCGCGTCGCGTCTTTTCCGCCTCACCAAATCTATAAGAACTTTGACAAAGCAACAATTTGCCCCTATCTATGCCTAAATATCTGTTATTTTAGTTAGATCTTAAAGCTGTACGTACTTCTTAATTAGAAAATAATAAAGCTAAATTTTAGAAGTTTAAAATAGCCCTTAGTAAACAATTTCTAGCTAAAAAGCTATAGCTAGAGCAGCTACGCGTTTAAGTACTAGTGCTACCTGTTAACTGTTAGCTAGAGCCCTTACTGCTGCAGCCTCTAAAGCACCTTTTAGAGGTTAAAAAGCTAGTAGATTAAATAAGCAGACAAGGAGAAAAGTTACCTTTATAAATAAGTAGCGCGCTGCTGCTTTAACAGCTGCTATTAAGATACTATTATTACTACTATTAGTAGTAGAGCTAGAGTGTTAACTATTACCTTAGCAGTAATTGTCCCTACCTCCTAAAGAGCCTAACTATAAGATAGATATAAAGTATATTCTACGCATAAATAGAAACTAGGTAGTTAATAACAGTAATAACTACTAGCAGCTAGTCTTCTTTATGTTATTTATAAAAGACAAAGTAAACTTAGTGCTTATTAATGCAGCTTTTATAATTAATAAGTAGAAAGTTACTTAGCTTAGTTACTTAGTAAGCTATTAAGCTAAGCACTTTAAATCTACTTAGTAGCATATTACCTTAGCTAACTTTAGTTTTATAAAGAGCGCTTACTTACTTAAAGTAGTTAATTACTATGTTAAGCACTTTACTAAGAAGATTAATAGAGTAGATTTTAAAGTAAAGCTCTATGTTAAAGTTAAGGCTTTATAAAGGGCATTTTTACGCAGGTAATTAGCTAACAAGCTATTATTAAATCTAGATACTACACTAATAATACTAAGTAGCTGTTATACCTAGCAGCTGCTGCGTAAAGCTAGGGTAGTAAAGTAAGTAAAAGAGATATCTAAGGCAATAGACCACTACTTAGCAATTACATGTATATAAGAGTGCTAGACAGAGCTTTATAATAACTATAAAAAGTAGTGCTATATCTACCTAGACTAATCTTACTATGCTATTAAACTAGTTAACTTTAAGGCATAGAGAAGGTCTATAGTTATAGAAAAGTCTTTTATTATAGTACCTAGTTATAAGATTATTAGAGCGCTGTAGTAAAAAAGTAATAAGCTTTAAGTAAACCTTTATATATAAAAAAATAAAAAGAAAAGGCTAAGCTTATTATTATTAAATAAGCTATTATTTAAAAAGCTAGTAAAGTAGATAAGCTAGTAGTAGTTACTTAACTAAATAGTAAAAATAAGTAATAAGAAAGCTACTTAAGTAAAGTAATAAAAGTTTTAACAGCTTTATCTCTAATAGCTTTAAGCGTAAGCTAGTATTTCTTTTATAAGAGCTGCTCTACTCTCTTACTACTAGCAGCTATATGCTCTACTAGTTATTACCTTAACAGCGCTTTAATCTTTAGGCTATTTTTTAAGTCTTATAATAAAAGGTAGTAAACAAAATACTTAAAAAATAGTAAAAGACTTTTTTAAGTAGTTAGTTAAGTAATAGCTAAAGAATAAAAAAAATTCTTACTTTTATATATAAAAAGTAGCAACTAAAGAGCTATAGACTATAAAGAATCTCTATAAGATAAGTAAAGTTAAAGGTGACCTATATACTATTACTATTACTTAGTTTAGGCTTAAAAATAGGCTTATTTACTATCTTTATAAAGATCTCTGTTAGTTTAAGCTAATATATTATATAGCTAGCAGCCTGCTTAAGATAGGTAGTAGTAAGTAAGGTAGAACTAGTAGTAAAAATAATATAGCTAAATAATTTATTTAAATTTAAACTTTTTTACCTTTTTAAGCTCTCTTAGCTCTCTTCTTACACACTCTAGCTCCTCCTGCTTAATATATAGCCCTTCTACTATATACTTAAAGTGCTTTTAAGTAAAATAGTTATATTTACTTTTTTAAATAGCTGCTTTTAAAAAGGCACTAAAGTTACTACTAAAACACTTTTAAATATATAAATAGTTTTTTTTAATCTATGCCTTAAGCACTGTAAAAGTAAGCTTTATTAAATTATAGTTAAGTAAGTATAAAGGCAGATACCTTACTAAATACTTACTAGCCTTAATAATTTATGTTACTTTATTATTTATATAAATTAAGACATTATCTAGAATAATTACTAGGTACTTTTTACTATACATAACTTAAAGTATAGGGATTAGACTTTTTTTAATCTACTTAAGAAACTGCTTTTAATTAAAGTAGCCTTTTTTTTACAGCTGTATAAAAAAGATAGCTATTAATTATATACATAAAGAGAATTAACTAAGTACTGCCTTAAGCAATATCCTAGGTATACTAAAAGACATAGCTAACTAGGCTGTACATGTAGTGCTACTAGCTAGTTTTTTTATTAAAGATTAACTTATTAAAAAATACTAGATCCTCTGCTATAAAGCGTCTTATTAAGTTATAATATAAGTTATAAAGTTTTTTATTTTAATTAATAAAAAATGCTTAAAGTGTTTAGTAACTTTATTTATGTTAAAAAAAAACTAGAATATATTTAAGTAATTAATTTAAATGCCTTTTTTTACTTATAACTAGAGTATAATCTTGTCCTAGTACATCTACCTAGAGTAGATAAGCTTACTAAAAAGAGCATTTATGTCTTTTTTACTAATTACTAGTAAATAACTAAGCCTGCCTTAGATAGGTGCTCTTACACTGCTGTGCGTCTTTAGATTATCTATCACATTGTATACTGCGCAGTTGCTACACCCCTTTTAATTAGTAATTACCTATAGCCTCTATCTAAGCAGTAAAAAACAACATATATTAATACACGTACAATTAGATAGGCTATAGGCGCTTATAGTAAGCGCTAGGGGTTGCTAAGTAGGTAGTAGGCAACAAGAGACTCTGTAAGCTTAAAACATAGCTAGAAAGCTATTTTAAACATTAAAACCTAGCCTTATTATTTTCTAAATAGGAAGTATGTACAGCGCCTAAATGTTTACTAAAATTAAGAGATGTTAGGTAGTTGTAGAGTTTTATAGGCAAAATTTTAAGTTTTTATACAAATTTAGTGGCAGAAAGCAAAGTTTAAGGTGTTGCCAAGACATTGCACAGATTAACGCACACAATAGATTGCCAGACCAGACTCCTGCAGGGATGAACCCTAAACCCCCCCCCCCCTACCTCTCTCCCGGAGGAAAAATGGCAGCAGGAGCAAATTCGAATATATTTGAGACTCTATCGTCACTTGCATCACCTCCATCAAGCCGACCTACCTCGCCGCCGCTATTAAACACATATACACACTAAACTGCTTCACTGTCACTGTCTTACCTATGCTAAACTAATTTACTATTATTATCTAACGCGTTGCAATCCTTCTAAATAATTTAGTTACATCACACTACATTCCTATTTACATAGAAATGCGTAGCTGTATCCCTAACGTAGCTAGCAACATGCAGCTTTATATACACAGAAGAAAATAAGAATTAAGAATATATATGTACCTGCTTAATTTATAAAATAGAGATTATATTACTCTATAAAGCTATAAAACTAAGTAATAAAGATTTACTTAAGTTTTATAAGTAAGACTGTTTATTAGTAGATATAATACTAGATTTTTTTAGCTACTAAGACATTAACACTGCCTCTACTGCTACTTTTTAAAGCTCTTAAACAACACTAACAGCTAGACTGCTATTTACCTTTTCTTTTAACCTATTTTTATTTTAGCAGTCTAAGTTATATCTGCTAACATGCTTATTACTACCTTACTTACTATTACTACACTTATTATTACTACACTAACTACTGCTACACCTATTACTGTCTTACTTACTATTATTACGCATATCTTCTTAGCAGTTATATGTAAGTGTGGCTGCTAGTATGTTATCTAGCTCTAGTAAAAACACCTTACTACTACTATTTTTTTTACACTTATATTACCTTTTTTAACCCTTAGCATCTAAACTACTAGCCTCTACTCTAAAAGCTAGAACATTAAGCCTAAAAACTACGCTGCCCTACTATAGCTTGCTACATTAATTATTGCCTGTCCTCTCTGTCTATAACTTAGAACTCTAGTTCTAGAGTAACTAGAACCCTTTTTAAAACCTACACTATTATTACTTATTATAAATAAGGCCTACTGCTGCTATTGCACAGCTGCTGCACATAATTGCAGAACTCTTAAGATCTTATAACTTTAAGAATAATCCTACACTATACTAACACTTGTACGCTAGCAGGTTCTGCTTTATTTACTAACAAAAGGACACTAAACACTTAAAAGAGAGAGCCTTAAGAATACTTACTACTTACTAAATATAAGAGGTATAGAAGAGTTTGCTAGGAAAATACAGAGAGATAGATATTTTACATGTATAGGCTATTAGGAGGTATGCTATTACTAAGGAATTAGTTATGTAATAAACTACTAGTGCCCTCTAGGCTAGAGCCGGGCGTAATAAAGACATCCATCCATCCATCCTGCAGGGATGACAGTACGATAGTTTCATTGACCAGTCATCTGAAATGTATTCGTATGTCAGCAACCCCAACATGCCCAATTTAGACCCCCGAGCTAGACATCGTTTTCCGCCAGGTCGGGTGGCCGGAGTGGCCCAATTCGCACGAGACATCTTGGCGATCAAGACTCTTACAGCGTAACGCACGGCATGAGGCACAGGTTTAGGCAGAGCACCTTTTGGGCTAACCGGGTGAGCGGGAGGAAATTCTACAGCAATATGCAGGGCCTACTGCAAGGCACATTTCAGCCTCCCACGTGAAAGGGTCCTCCCTAGTACTGGGGAAATTTGGGAATCCTTCCAATATTATTCTCGTACTCGAGAAAAAGTTCATGCGGTAGCCTCGGGATTGAGAATGAAAGACTTGGAAGAATGGTATTCAAATAGCGAAGAGAAGTACGAGAAGTCGACACGCATCCGCACTTTCGGCAAAGATGATCGGTCGTCCAATTTTACTCGCGGCGCTCTCGCTGCACGTCTTTACCTCATTGGCTGAGAAGCATCTCTCCAAAAGAGACGAGAAGCCCGCTCTACCATATGATCCCAATACCACACAGTATTGTACTTGGTGGTATGACAATGATGGTTCCATTCCATGCAGTCAGATGCCGGCTCTCTGGGCAATGTCCTTGAATGACTTCCGAAGATGGGTATGTCTTGAGCTTTCCAGTATGGGCCTTGCAGTACCTTGAGCTGACCAATGCCCACAGAACCCTTCCATCACGGCTGACTGCGGCAATTTTGTGACGGGCAAGTCTTATTGCGTAGAAGCATTTGGCGAGCCTCCACCACAGACGAGCACAGTAGTGTCGTCCTCAACAACTTCCAAGGCCACACCAACCTCCACTGGAGGGGCTCCTGGTCCCACTCAATCCGGACAGGTGGAGAACTGCAACCGTTGGGACCTCGTCAAGGATAAAGACACATGCAGTGTATACATTAACAAGTATCCTGGCTTGACGCTGAAGGACCTCGTCTCTTGGAACCCAGGAATTGGTGATAACTGCCAGTTCTTGTGGATTGACTACTATGTAAGTCTTGTGCCAATTCCTACTTGATGCCTCTCCTAATACGCGCCCCTCAGCTTTGCACCGGCGTCCCCGGCTTCAATCCCGTCACAACCACCAGCAATACCGCCACCCCAACGCCCACTAATGGCATCGCCACGCCCACCCCCATCCAAGGAGGCATGGTAGGCAACTGTGACGCATTCCACAAGGTCGTCAGCGGAGATGGTTGCGCTGCAATTGCCCAGCAATACGGCATTAGTCTTTCGCAATTCTACACCTGGAATCCTACCGTCGGATCTAACTGCGGTTCTCTGTGGCTCGACTACTATGTCTGCGTGTCTATCATCGGCGTCGGTCCTTCGTCCACCGTCAAGAGCACGCCGATCGCCACTTCGACAGTCACGACTCCAACGAACGGCATCGCCACTCCCACGCCTGTCCAGGCTGGCATTGTGAGTAACTGCGATGCCTTCCACAAGGTAGTCAGTGGAGATGGGTGCGCCGCGATTGCCTCAAAATACAGCATCAGCCTTTCACAGTTCTACACGTGGAATCCTACTGTCGGATCCAACTGCGGTTCTCTATGGCTCGACTACTATGTCTGTGTCAGTATCATTGGTGTTGGACCTACGCCGACGACAACGTTGAAGACGACGACGTCGACGAAGGGGAATGGAGTTGCCACGCCTACCCCGTATCAATCGGGAATGACGACCAGCTGCAAGACGTTCCACAAGGTCGTGTCTGGTGATGAGTGTGCGGTGCTTGCGAAGAATGCTGGTATTTCACTGGCGAACTTTTATAAGTGGAATCCTGGGGTTGGGACGAGCTGCGGGTCCCTCTGGCTGGATTACTACGTCTGTATAGCTATTCTGTAGTTGGATAGCAGTCACTGCAAATCTGCATGGTGCGTTTCATATAATGTAATTCTTAATTCAATAACACTCTCAAGACATGCTTACGAGTGATGAGAGACATGAAGGTCTCTTGGATGTCATCAAGCCTCTCAAGAGAAAGTCTTCATCTCTTCCTCTCTCTGGGTATTTTCCTGCCACGAAGGGGCTCTTTGGCTGTCATAGTCAGATGTGATCAGATGTGGTCGAAATTTTGGTCGCGAAAGCACGGAACCGAAGCGGAAAACCCGACGTCCATCTCGACCTCCTCAATCCTCCTTCAACACCCAACCTTTTCCCTTCAACACCCCCACCGCCTTCTCCACCGCCTCATCTTCCTTCTCCTGCATCCAAACCCCCAACACCTCCCTAACAATCCTCCCACTCTCCTCCCTCGCAACCCTCGAATTCCTCTTCGCAAGCCTCGCCCAAGCCTCAATCTCCCCCGCTCCCTTCGCCCTCTTATCCTCCCCCTTTCTTCCCTCCTCGCGATCCCACCCCGCCCAAACCCCCTGCTCATTCACCACCCTCATAAACGAAATCCAACAAAGCGAATGCTCGCAATTCCTACACTTGGGTGCCGTCCACCCCACCCGTCCCACCTTCTCCGCATGACAAATCTTCGCCGTTCCCCGAAACTTCTCCAGCGCCCGACACACAGCCTGCAAATGCCCGTACACTACTTCTCCCTCCGGCTTGTGATCCACTGCATTCGCGAGTCCGAAATCTATCAGCACGAGATCTGGGAAGCCGGGTACGGCTTGCGAGCTATGATCTAGCAGGATGTTCTCACCCCAGATGTCATGGTGCATCATCTTTGCGCCTTCGAGAAACGTTATCGCGGAGTGTAGTTGGTGGAATGCGTGCCAGATGAAGGCTTCTGGTGGCGCGATGTCAGCGGCGGCGAAGCATTTCTGGGCTTGGATGAGATTCGTGCTGCCTAGGTAGGCCGGCAGCACGATATACGGTTGTGGGATTTCGTCTCCAGAGTAATCGAGGCGCGCGACCGTGTGCTTGTATCCGATGGGAAATATGTCTTGCTTCTTAGCGAGATACTTGAGGTGGTAGTTTTCGCAGCGGATCAGGTCGCTGCGGTCGGGTTTGCAGGATACCTTTAGAGCGACGATTTTGGAGGCTAGAGAGGGGCGGGTGCGGGATGGGCGCTGCGGATACCTGGGGTCTGAGAAGATTAGAGCGGTGTTGGGGATGGCGTAGATGATGTTGGCAGCGCAGCCGCAGACAGCGTGGCCAACAGTACGTAGTACGTTACGTTTGAGCTTTTTTCTGCCAGTAACTTCTCAATTTAGTAGTACTTTTGTACGTAAGCAGTGAATTAATTAGCAAGTACGTAACATAACAGTAACTTCTCAAAATCCTTATACTTTTGTACTTTTCGCGAGAAGTTTCGTCGGTCCGGGTCAAAATTGTTCCGGGAGAAGCTTTTTAGCCTAGATGAAGTCCCCTCCTCCTCCTTATCGCCCTCTGTCTCTAGCTTGTTGGGACGACTCTAATAAGCAGGAGGATTAGGATGAGGCTGTACGCCTGCTGCGATAGAGGAATTAAGACATCTAGCTCATTGTAACAATTAATAAGATAGGCAATAGGTTGGCAAATAGGCAGGTATAAGATAAGGAGCTTTTCTAGGGCAAAAGTTAACTATTTTTATAATTGTTACTCTAAAACGCGACCTCAAACAAAGCTCCCAACGCGATGGCTAATAGGGTCTGAAAACAGGAGGGAAATCTCCCAAAATATGACCTCTCTGACCCATACTACGGGACGTACTTAGCAATTCACTGTACAAAAGTTACGTCTCACATTTTAACTACTTTTGTACTCCTCACGTGATTACTACGTTCACGTAGTTACGTTACGTACTACGGACTGTTGGCCACGCTGGCCGCAGATTTGTTGATAGGACGTGTCAGCACGCAGTCCTGAGCTCTTGTATTGATCCTCGCTAGACTGTATTTGTCTCATCAACGTATCCCTCGTCTCTCCTGTCCGATCCTGAATCGAGACCTCTCAATGTAGCCTGCACATATGATTTTTTGCTGCTCTTTCTCCGTGGCCATGGTCCGCATAAATTCATCCTGCGATCCTGACACCGGACGTTGCCACTAATACCTTCCGGATACCAAGCGAGGCGTGCCTGGAAGCTGCGCCTCGTGATTGAGGGCCTTGCAGGAAATTGGACTAGACACGCTTCGTTAAGGTTTTCCACGATACCCAGGGAATGGCCGGCTTCGTCCAACTCAAAGTCGTAGTTGTTCCGGCACGCATGAATCTCCGCCGCCTAGCTCTACCATCAAATTCAGCCACCTCATCACCACCCGATCCAGCTCTTCCTTAAATCCGTGTCTAATACACTCCAATATCTCCGTATGACATTTACGCATGAAGTCACCCCCACTCCTACATGAATCCTACGCTGCTCACCAGGTGGCGGCAGCGCCGTGTTTGAGAGTCAGATGTAATCGTCCCACTCACTGTTAGCACCTCATTGGCAGAGACCACGTCATGTCCCCTCTCTTTGCCGTAATACCGTGCCGCCTCGGCGGCTCGAGCTCCTCTTCGGGTGCACTAGATGTTGGCTCCTGTCTTAGCAGGTGGAGTAGCACAATGCTTAAGAGTCATCTTTGCATGAACATACTCTCATCCGGCACATCCTCAATTCCAGGCCGATCCAATCCAGTCTCATTGTGCGTGGACCCAGGCCAAAGTGATTGGTTCAGCGGCGAGGGTACGGAAATTACAGTCTCTGCTGAGGCTGTCACCCAGCATGTCCCTAGAGATGTAGGCAGACATGGCTCGAGTGACACCTAGCGTGTCACCTACTGCAATTTTTGCCGTACTATCGCACATGGAGGGATCAAAGACCAAGCCAAGTTCATTAATGATCTGGATAAACGCTGCGGGTGTATGCGAAGAGTAAGATATAATTGATAGACTACAGTGCCTTCCTACATTTTTGCAAGATTTTGGGCGCGAAGATAGAAGTTAGAGCATGTGAAGTTGGGAGACGAGAGATAGAGAGTTAGAGAGGGACTCGGATCGGCAAAACAAAAAGCCGAGCAACACGAGTAGAGCAGAAAAAGGATCAATAAATCAAGACAATAAATCTTAATCCTATACATCACATCTAAACCCATCATTTATCTTAGGAAGCCTAGAAACAGTGCTTTAATCTAATAATTAAGAGTCTCAGTGCCTCTATTAATACAAAATGGCCACCTAGCCTCCTCGAGACGCGACAGTCGTCCTTCGAGACCACACCGACTACAGAGCCTGGATGATGCAGCTGCAATCGAGATGTGTAGCGCACAGCATCTGGCCGCAAGTAGATCCTAAGTTGACCATCTAAATAATCTCTAAACTAAGAGCTCTAGAGATGCCGCTAATAGCTAAGTTTTCACTAGCCTCTAATGTTAAAACGCCTACGCACATAAACAAGCTATTAACAAGCAGTGTTAGAGCCTTTAAAGAAGCTATTAAATACTATAAGATTAAGGCTAACAAGTATAAGAGTAATAAATATAATTATAAAAGAGAGTAATTAAGCGTTTAACAGATTATTGTCTTTATCTAGTTAACAGTTAGCCCGCATCTGCAGTGTACATGCTGTTCCCTAGATTAACTACTTAGATAGTGGATTATAAACTTTAAAGCTATAGTAGGTGTTAATAACTAATTTAAATAAGAACGTGTGCACAACTAATATAATACATCTCTAAAGCTGCTAAGAAACGCAAGCATATAGGACCTATAGCTAGCAGAGTATAATTACGCTGCTATAGAAGCAGAGACACAAAATGTTCTAGAAACAACGCAGTTTAATGCTGTTGCAAAGGACTTTCTAACTACTATAAATAAAGTTGCCCCTTATTAGTCTATAACTTTTTAAGAAAGCAGACAGTTTACACTAGACATAAATTAGAAAGAAATAATAAAGCGCTTTTAAAAACATATAACGTACCTAACAGGTTGGCTAGCCACTTTTGCCAAGCCCCTACTAAAACCACCCTATTCTCTTGCAAAACAGCCCACTTTAGCCCTATATAAAGTAATATAACATAAGATATTATTTAAAGTCTACTTTTACTACTTACTTACATGTACATAAGTTATGCCTAGTCTAATTACACTACTTATATTGCCTTTAACTTAGCTTACTTTCTTTAGCGCACACCTGCGTCTTTAGCTTCTTCCTATTACTACGCGCTCTAAACTCCTTTAGAGCAGTTAAACAAGCCCTATCCTTAACTATTAAGGTTCTTTCTGCCTAAATTTACTTTCTTTTATGTAATCTATGTTGCGTAGCAGCTTTATTTACTGCTTAAAGCTTTATAATCTTATAGCCTACTCTATTATGTTAATGCCCTAGATAACTATTATCTACTCTTTATTACTTTACTATATTACCTTTAGCTGTTCTTATCTCTCTAAAGCTATAACAACTACTCTAGTTAATATCTAGCCTATTATAAAGCTTAACTTGTTAAAGTTATACATGTCTTTATTCTAGATACTGTACTTAGCTTTTATGTTAGCTACTAGGCAAAACTAGCCTTAGATAACCTCTAGATCCTTATAAAGCGCTCTCTTATAATTATACTTATAATTAAACTTTATTATAAACTTAGGGCAGTGCTTAACTTACATACTAGGCTAGTTTAAGCTAACCTAGCCTAGATTGCGCTCTGCAGGCAAGGAATTAGCTATATTAGCTACAGCTATAAGCCTAGAGGGAAATCTGCGCGTAATAAGCTTAAGTATATACTTAACAACTACCTCTTTTTTAAGCTTAGTTAGATTCCTTAATTTAGGCTAGCATTCTGCTTGTAAAGGCTGTCTAGCGCGTTAATTACTTAGTGTTGTGTAAGAGACATTATAGATAGCGGCAGCGCGTTATAAGAAAAGTTTTAAGTCTTATTTAAAAGCTTAAAAAGCAAGCTATATCTAACGTTCTTTAGAAGATTTAATCTAATGTTGTTGTTAAGGCATTATGTAGATAGGTAGAGTTTGGTGGGGGCTTAGCAAAAGTGGCTGGCTAACCTGTGTGGCCAGCTAACCTGTTAGGTACGTTAATGTTAAATTATCTAATATGTATAGAAAAGCATAAAGCTGCCTTTACAACAGATAACTTGTTATACCTTACTAAAAGTAGAAAAACCACCTAGGGCATAAATAGAGACGCCTATAGTGCAGAAGTTATAATGTTAAGAAAATAGAGTAGACCTTAATATTAACATTATTAAGAAGATAACAGAAAGTTATTTTTAAGCTAGAAACCTGCTAAAACAGGAGGCACTAAATGTCCTGCATGCAGACACATCTATGCACTAAAGGACTGCTTCTATGTCTATCTAGACAGAGCACTAGACTAGTAGATGCTAAATAAAAGAGTTAAAGAGCTTGTAGCATTAAAGCGCAAGCATAACTTAAAATTTTAAGGCCTACTTAGAGAGCAGTGTAGACATAATTTAAGAATACTAATCTTAAAAAGTTTACATACACCTACGCTAGAGATACAAGAAGACTAACTTAAAAGCTAGGAAGTATTAAAAGTTAAGGCAGCTGCATTGCTAGCTATAGTTAATTTAAACTAGAATAGATATCTATTAAGAGAATTATTTATCCTTAACTTAGGCTTAACATGCTATATTATAAATAATTTTAATTAAATCTATAACTATTATCTACTAACACTAAAAGACTTTATCTAGTCTAGAAACTTTTATGTATAGATTTAAAGCTATAGATTAATTATACTAAGCTTAAAGAGTAAGCATAGAACACATAGTTAAGCATACAGTCTTGTACTACATAACGCTGCACTGTGCCTAGACCTGCTGTGCAACCTAGTCTTATTCTGCCTACTATAACAGAAAGGAATCTATTGGGACATATAAGCAGAGCTAACTGCTTTAAAGGCCTTAGATAAAATAATAATTAAAGATCTTATAAAGATCTATAGCTAATAGGTGTTAGAGTACTATTGTTAGATTTGCGCACCTACTGTTAAGACAGGAGGAACGCTTGACGAAAGCTGCTACATAGTACGAGCAATAAGCTTGTCAGATATGCGCACCTACTGTCAAGACAGGAGGAACGTTTGACGAAAGCTGCTACATAGTAC